TGGCGGGAGATGGGTGTGAAAAATGGAAGACTCCAAGGAGTGTTTGCAGGTATGGTCATCATTCAGCAAGCAGCCTTTATCTTCATCTCTTAGCCTTCCTCTAAACGGTGTCTTTGTTGTTGGACATAACTGTTCCATACCGTTTGCTGCATTTATAAAGCATCCGTGTCTTGAGGTCAGTTTATCTGATGCAATTTTGTGTGCAATTTAATTGAATGAGAATCACAAGACTGATTATTCTACTTGGCCAATCACTATAAAAAATATCTATTAATTAACAGTTTTCTATTATATTATTCACAAGTGTTTTGTTTTTACATTTATGTAGTGTATAATGGGATGTTGATATATGCTTTGTCAACTTTTGATGTTGAAAAACCCTGACTAACAAGCTACGAGAGCATACCTGTCACCACTGGGATGTGAAAATAAGAGATTTGCCCACCATAATAAGGGATTATGACCCACCTTTAAAAAATCCCCAAATTACTAAATATGTTCATTTGGAGCATATGTTCATTTCATTGTAAATAAACAGTTAAATGGTCAGTAACATGTTTTATAATTATTATTATTTACAAAAGAAAAAAAAATAATATAAATATATATAAATATATGAATTATCAGCAAATTCATTAGCAAACAGTTCAGCTTATTAAAACTAATAGCTGTTATAATACCAGCGTAACTTTCAGCTTTTATTATAAATAAAGTCATGTAAACTTTTTTTCTTTCTCACTGAATAAATGTATTTTATTTATACTTAAATGTATTATTTATGGCGGCACGGTGGCTCAGTGGCTAACACTGTTGCTTCACAGCAAGAAGGTCCTTGATTAGAGTTTTGGCCGAGCCAGTTAGAATTTCTGTGTGGAGTTAGCATGTTCTCCTTGTGTTTGTGTGAGATTTCTCCCGGTGCTCTGGTTTCCCCCACAGTAAATGACATGTGCTGTAGGTGAATTGAATAAAATAAATTGGCTGTATTGTGTGAGTGAATGAGTGTATGGGTGTTTCCCAGTATTGGGTTGTGGCCGGAAGGGCATCCGCTGCGTAAAACATATGCTAGAATAGTTGGCGTTTCATTAAGCTGTGGCAACCCCTGATAAATTAGGGACTAAGCCAAAGGAAAATGAATGAATTGCGTGGAACCCAGCACTTTTACAGTGTAGTTAAGTACAATTCCTGAAATAAAACCTCTCAAATACAGTAAAATACAGTGAGTATTTGTCATTCGTTACTTTCACCACTGTGTATTGTTGATGTATTTTTACTATTACAATGAAATGCCATTCTTTTTTTATTTCTCTCAAGGAGTTTTAGAAGCAACATCTGAAATATATGCTGATATAAAAAAATAAAACATAAGAATTCCATTAAGTGTCCTGAGCTCTGAAAGAAGAGCCTCTCAGCAGTAAAGCCTTCCTCTAATTCATTCTTTATCTTTTACATTAGGAATCTCTGTTTTCCATGAAGCACATACACGTTTCTTTTACTACTCCTTCAGACGTGCTCCCAGTGCCAAATTCAGAAGTCGGTTTGTTGAGAAGCACCTTCCAAGTAGAGTCTAAAGCACCACAAATGGAGACGCATTAGCTAAATATAATACTAGGGAGGTTGAGAGATGTTCATCGCTGCTCGAGATCCAAAGATAATGAAGATTTGTTGCCTCCAGAGCTGCGCAGCTTTAATCCCATAGAGACTGTAAATTAGGCGGGTCAGTGTCCACAGAGATCCACTATTCCTGCAGACACGTCAAGATCTTCAGACGTATTGCTTGGAAATGGTGCAGTTCATTGAGGCCCTATTTCCACACCCTCATCCAGATGGCCAGGCCCACAGCTACTTCATCCCAGCAGCTCCTCTCGCTGACCAGAAGGAGCTCTGCGTCTCGTCACCGCTGTCTCCTTTTACATCTTTATATAATTCACGGCCTAAATCTGGTAGTTATTTCACGTGTAAACCTGCAGACCGGCCTTTAATGCCTTTAATTCATATGTTGAACTTTGCTCACTGAAGTGGGAAAATGTGGATTGTGTTATTTCGTATAGTACCGGTAACATCTTGATTGATAGCTATGCCTTTTTTTTTGCTGTTTGCTTTTATTAGATGTTATTCCAGTCACATGCCTTTGTTTCCTGAGGGAAAAAGTTGTATCATTTCTACATTTAAATAACTTTTAGTTATTCTTAGACATGATTATCAGATGTTTATTAACAAAAGGAGAATGTGCATATAAACACAAGATGTTGCTGTATTATACAGATGCTTGTTATTAAATTGATTTCATACATTGTATGGATGTGTAAATGAACCGTTAAAATGCAAAACAGTTTTTTCACACACACAAGCATATACACTAACTGGCCACTTTATTAGGTACACCTTACTAGTTCCGGGTTGGACCCTTTTTGCCTTCAAAACTGCTTTAATCTTCCTAAATACTAATATATCATTTTGATGAGCCTGTGCAAATTGTAGCCTCAGATTCCTGTTCTTAGCTGAAAGAAGTGACAGCCAGCGTGGTCTTCTGCTGCTGTAGCCCGTCTGCCTCAAGGTTGGACGTGTTGTGAGTTCAGAGATGCTCTTCTGCAGACCTCAGTTGTAACAAGTGGTTATTTGAGTTACTGTTGCCTTTCTATCAGCTCGAAACAGTCTGGTCATTCTCCTCTGACCTCTGATCATTAATTTAATTTATTAAGCATGAAATAAATTGAAAGAAAGGGACTGAGATCCGGTCATTTCAGGGACAATGTGATTATTCATTCATTCATTTTCTTTTCGGCTTAGTCTCTTTATTAATCTGCAACCCATCCCTGGGAAACATCCATACACACTCATTCACACACTCACATTAAGAGCAATTTAGCCTACCCAATTCACCTGTACCTCATGTCTTTGGACTTGTGGGGGAAACCGGAGCACACGGAAGAAACCCACGCCAACATGGGGAGAACATGCAAACTCCAAACAGACCTTCTTGCTGTAAAGCAATCGTGCTAACCATTGCGCCACCGCGTCCTTCTCAGTGTGATTATTTTAAGAAAATGTATCATTTTATTAAGGTAGATAATATATAACATATGATGTATCATATAAACGTAATGTATGATATAAATCATATTATTATACAGTGGTGGAAAGAGTACTGTAAAATCATACTCGATTAAAAGTACCATTACTTGCCTAAAAATGTACTGCAAGAAGAGTAAAAGTATCTGTTGTAAATAACACTCAAAGTATGAGTAAAAAGTAGTCCGTTCAAAAGAACTCAAGAGAAGGGAGTAGTGAGTATTATGCTGTGAAAAGCTAATGCATTTACATTTAATTTACATGTGTGTAAACGTAACATTCTGTAGTGCATTTACTCTTTGCCCAGCAGGCACACAATGTCATAAGACATTATTATTAGGCTAAATTTAAGTTGTGACGTCACAATTTATTTTGATGATCTGTTTTTTAAGTTTAAGTTACACTGCATCTACATGCCAACTACTTCTCGTTAGATTACAAGTAGACTTTTAGGTTGTGGTTAGTGTAAGTTGACGTATCTTCAAAGTTTCTTATAGTCAATTAAATGCCTGTTGAACGAGCAGAGTCAACAGATATTAAGCGGACAGTTTACTAATACTCAAGTAGACCATCAAAATACTGTTACCAAATGTTATTTTGATGTCCAATAACGATGTCAAATTACATTGATATTTGATGTTATATCCAACGTTGAGTCAACATCTTAAACCAACATTATATTGACGCCAAATACTGACATTTAATCGTCAGTTATAGCAACCACAACTCAACGTCTGATAGACGTCATAGTGGTAATGTCCACACAGTGTAAAGCTATAACTATATTAGACGTTGATATTTGGTTGATTTTTTGGACGTTGCACATTGACGTCAGCCTGATGTTGAGTTCTGTCGTCAACCAGATTTTCATTTAAAAAAATAAAATAAAATAAAATAAAATGCTATGTCTTCACGACATTAGGGTACAACTTCAATCTGACGTCATGTTGACATCTTGTGCCTGCTGGGTGTTTAAGGCCATTTCGTTCTTCATACAGTAAACATCTGTCATCTTCTCATCAGTGGCATGCATCTATGGATCAATGTGTGTAAAGATTCTCCTTGGACACTTTTAATGCTTTCAAACGGTTTGCTGCAATTATAAATCGCTCATGTCTTGAGGAAGTTTATTATGATGCGATTTTCTTCTTTGCTTCTATGTGAGATTTGATTGGACAGAAATCACAGGACTGAATTTTCTAATCCTCATAGACAAATAAATAAATAAATAAATAAATAAATAAATAAATAAATAAATAAATAAAGTAGTGACTGCAGGTTGAATGAAAGTAGTGGAGTAAAAGTACCAATACGGCAGTAAAAATGTACTCAAGGGAAAGTAAAAGTACACATTTTTAAAACTACCTACTAAACTACAATTCCTATGAAAAATACTCAATTACAGTAGTTTGAGTATTTGTAATTTGTTACTTTACAGAACTGTTAATATTCCAACTGTTTGTTTGACATTTATTTATAGTATTTTTTTTAAATAAAATAAATGCTATAATTATAATACATGCAGGGTTTTTTTCATGAGGGTTCTTTTAGATACTTTTAAAATACAGAACTTTTTTTTTTTTACTTTTTTTTCTGGCTTTTCACCTTTTTTCTCAATGGAGAGGACAGTAGAGATTATTGACAGGAAAGCATGGGGAGCAGAGAAAGAGGAAGGATCGGCATAGAACTGCAAGGCGGGAATCGAACTCGGGTCGCCGTGAGCACCGGAGTGCATGTGTCAACACACTAACCACTACACCGCTGGCGCCGACTAAATAAAGAACTTTTTAATGTTAATACTGCATTCATTAATGTAAACTGTAATATTTAAATATTAATTTATATCAGATTGCATTTATATTTTGAATTGAATATATGTATATTATTTTATATGTCAAAGCTCTTACAAAGATGCTCTTTTATTCTTGCAGTTACTACATTGACAGACGGGTGACCAAAGTGGAAGACTTTATGAAGACGAGACTTCTGGACACCCTGTCTGAGCAGATTACAAAGGTTTTGAAGGTAAGCTTTATATATTTATATGTGTGTGTCTGTGTACTGCTGGTTGTTGTTGTGAGAGTCTGTAAGTCCCTTCAGTGCTCATTAACTGTGTTTATCTCAGGGGCCCCAGATTTGTCCTCAGCTGCACCGTCCAAACAAGCTGTCATCAGTCAGATAGGTGGCCTACTGTTGAGGGAGCGTGGGTTAGGGCACAGTAAATGAGGAAAGCATTTGATTGGCTTTACAATTTACAAGTTCATGATGTCTCAGCTGCTCTGGGAACAGTCCCCTTTTGGTCTAATAAGCAGTACCAGGTTTCACAACATTTAAGACTTCCCTCAGGAGGACCAATCTATAAATACACAGCTCTCCTGTTTTATGTATCTCAAACTCACACATCTGGTCGAGCCAGTTCCCCTGAAAGTGAAATAGGAGGAAAACTGGCCTTCCGCACTAATATCAAACAAAAGACGGCAAAGTTTTGCTCACTCCCAACTCCGCTGGGACAGTGATTAGAGGCCATTACAATCCCGAACAAGTGCTTATTCCACTTCTGGACTTTAGATCTAAAAGTCCTTGAACAGAAACTAAGTATTATAAAAATGGATGGTTCTGGTTCTTGATGTTGATTGGTCAATGGCCACTTTAGGACTGTGAATCACTGTGTAATACTCTTAGCAACCACCCGTAGCAACATAAACAATTGATATACTGTGAAACGTTGAACAAATGATGTGTGTCAGGGAAAGTTACTGCTCTAGTTCTTAATATTGATTGGCAAGTGGTCACTTTTGATCCATCAATTACTCTTAGCAACCACACAAAGCAACAAAAACAATTAATATGATGTGAAACGTTGTACAAATGATGTTTTTCAGCAAACGTAACTGCTCTGGTTTTGATGTTGATTGGATAGTGATAATTTTTGATTCATGAATCACTGTGCAACAGTCATCTGTAGCAACATGAACTGGAACCCAAAGTTCGTTGCCTAACTTTGATGTTGGCTTGAGAAAGCCAACGTGACTATGCTAGGACTGTGATTGGCAGTTGGCAGGAAGCACAGTGGTTTCTAAGTGGTTAGATTAGGGTGGCCAACCCTGTTCCTGGAGAGCCACCTTCCTGCAGATTTCAGTTGCTACCCATGTCAAACACACCTGAACCAATTAATTAAGACCTGAACACCACTTGATAATTACAAGCAGGTGTGTTTGATATGGGTTGCAACTGAAATCTGCAGGAAGGTAGCTCTCCAGGAACAGGGTTGGCCACCCCTGGATTCGATAATAACTAATAGCATGTAGCTAATCATTATTAGCACTTGGTTTATCATTGTTACCATGCATAGTACACAGAAAGTCCCATTTGCTAGCATGAGTAAAACGAGCCAATACCCAGATCCCTACGATATTCTGATGTAGACATATTGCTGTTTTTAAATGGTTGGTAGGTTAGCCTGTTTTATTGCTATGGGGACAATTAACAGCTTAGTGATAATAGATCAAAGCTCCTTGCCAATATGAGTGATATAAATCATAAATAATAAATGGAACTTATGTAAAAAAGCATGCCCAATTTTTTCAAAACACAAAGCTTAATAAGTGTGAAAGTGATTGACTTTTTGTAAAAATGGCTTGCTATATCAGTAAAAACGCTGGAATTTAAGTCAAATATTTTGAGAAAAATAATGCTTAAAATTATTTATTGTAAAACTATAAGTTTGATAAATCTGAAAAGACCAAGCAACAAAATCTAATGCAGTACACAGCTTTTGGCCAAACTTGGGGCTTTTATATATATATTTTTATGCACGTATTATTAAAATGTAATATTTAACTTTTTTTTTTATTCAAATACGATATGGTTGGCATAAGGAGATCTAGCATCAATCTTGAATGCAGAAGGCATGTTTTGACCAAATTTGGGCCTTGTAGCATGAACGTTTGTTGTCAAGGACAGAGTAGTATAACAGTCTGTCTTTCTCAAGCTAACATAAAAATTAATATATTGCAAAACATGTTCTATGCTGTAAAAAAAAAAAAAGTATTCTATCAAATTTAAACTATAAAAGACAGTAGATGTGGTTGCCAGATTTTTTTAAAATATTGAAAAAAAAAGTCTTAAATTTAAATTTAGCAAGTAAATTATTCCATTAGTTTATAGTGCTAATACACCAATATTTTGATCGACTACACTACCTAACAAAAGTCTTGTCATCGATCCTATTTGTAAGAGCAGCAAATAATAACTTGACTTCTAGTTAATCATTTGGAAAAGTGGCAGAAGGTCAATTTTTCTGATGAATCATCTATTGAACTGCATCCCAAGCATCACGAATACTGCCGAAGACCTACTGGCACTTGCATGGACCCAAGATTCTTATAGAAATGCGTCAATTTTGGTGAAGCAAAAGTCATGGTTTAGGGTTACATTCATGAGGGTGTGCGAGAGATCTGCAGAGATCAGCCTGAAGTATCAAGTCATTTGTGCTGCCCATTAGATTATAAACCACAGGACAGGGCAAATTCTTCAGCAGGATAGCGCTCCTTCTCATACTTCAGCCTCCACATCAAAGTTCCTAAAAGCAAAGAAAGTCAAGGTGCTCCAGGATTGGCCAGCCCAGTTACCAGACATGAACATAGCATGTCTAGGGTAAGATGGAGGAGGCTTTGAAGATGAATCCAGAGAATCTTGATGAACTCTGGGAGTCCTGCAAGAACGCTTTCTTTGCCATTCCAGATGACTTTATTAATAAGGTATTAGAGTCATTGTAGAGATGTATGGATGCAGTCCTCCAAGCTCATAGGAGTCATACACAATATTCATTCTTTCTCCACTGCGCTGTCTTCCTGTCCTAATTAAATAATTAAAAATCAAGGCATGATCATATTTTATTTTGGTAAAATAAGCGTAATCTAGTCTTTCATATAAGCCATTTCTGATACCGAATGATCAACTAGAAGTCAAGTTATTATTTGTTGTTCCTAATACTTGGATAGGCGACAAGACTTTCGTCAGGTAGTGTACATTGGGTTTTATGAGCCTAATCTCATGAAGAAACATATTTATTTTACGTTTTGTCAGTTGTAGTGATTGATATGAATTCTGAAGGCTCTAAAAGCCCTAAACCCAACCATCATTGGGGGATGAAAAAATCTTAATCAAATGAATGAATGAGCTTGTACAACCTCAAATTAGCCACTAAATAAAAAAAAAAGTTAGCATTTGCTTTACACCAGTTACCAGTTTACCATTTACTGTCTCTGTCAGGGACTTTTACATTAACATATTTTTAGACATTTTTAAAATCATTATATCGAACATAAAAGATGGGCTTGATATCGCATCTAATGGATCTGCAGGTGTTTGCATCTGTTTTGATGGCAGATGTACCCTTCCGCTGTTTGCAATAGTGTGCAGATTTATTCTGGAATGTAATTTATGCTTTAGCAATGCTTCTCAGTCATTCGCTACAACAGGTTTTCAGCAAGTTTACTGGTTTTGATTCAGAAGTAGAGAGGATGACGAGAGCCTTGCTTTGGCTTATTATAAAATATGCCTAATACCCAACATGTGTTCTATTATAACCAGACTCTGACCCTGCAGCTGCATGCTTGTGCTGTGGAGTTGGGATATCATCCACTGATCTGTAATACATCAGTAATATCATTTCGAATCATGCCCACGGACTGTTCATGGACGGTTTGACTCATATTAAGCACAAAAACAGGAGTTACGAATCAGTTTTTTGTTTTTTATCAGAAGGCTGCATGGGAAGAAACTGTGTTTAGGTACTCGGCTTTTAAAATATGAGAACAAATATGATTTTATATTTGATTGTAATAATAGTAGTAGTAGTAATAGTAATAATAAAAATAATAATTATTATTATTATGATCAATATTACAACTTTTTTACGTTTTATTATTATTAGTAATAGTAATAGTATTTAAGTACATGTAATGCATATAATATTAGTGTTAATAGCTTAATATAGTATTTAATAACAACTTTTTATTATTAAGTAATTTATTAATTCGTTATTTGTATTAATATTAATTGAATAATATAATAATAATAAAAATAATAATAATAATAATAATAATAGTAATGTAATAGTAAAAAATAGTATTATTATTATGATCAATATTAAAACTTTAGTGTATGTTTTATTATTATTGTTGTTGTTCATTAATAGGTTATTTGTATTAACATTAAATAGTTATTAATAATAATTATAGTAATAAATAATAATAATATTATTAATAATAATAATAATTTACTTATTATTATTATTATTATTAATAATAATAATAATTAATTAATTAACTAATAATTTATAATTTAATTAATAAGAATTAATATAATAATAATAATTATCATTATTATCATTATTATAACTATTATTATCAATATTACACAATTTGTTTACTTTTTATTATTATTATTATTATTTATTAATAAATTGTTTGTATTAACATTAAATTAATAACTAATAAATTAATGTTATTATTATTATTATTATTATTATTATTATTATTAATAATAATAATAATAATAATAATAATAGTAATAATTATTATTATTATTATAATCAATATTGCAACTTTAGTTTACTTTAGTTTATTATTATTATTATTATTATTATTATTATTACGTTGTTTGTATTAACATTAACATTAATAAAAATAATAATAATAATAATACATCTTATCAATATTACAAATTTAGTTTATTATTATTATTGTTGTTATTATTATTATTAATAAATATTATTATTATTATTTTTAATGATAAGACTTTAAGTTAATTAGAAGAGCTTAAAAAAGGTTTGTCATTTTTGTCCTATTGTGATAAATATATTTAAATTGTTTGGTCACTGTCATGGTAAGTTTCATTGCTTTGTTGAAGGCTGTAAGAAATATTGGGTTGATGTGATGAAGATATATGAATATGGATATTATTAAAATAAAGCATTTAATAAAATCATCAAGAATAAACCCGCATCGTCACTCAGTTATTCTGTTATAAATATATGTTTTTTCATCTTTCAGATTGTTCAGACTCATGCTCCAGAGAAGCATGTGTGGCTGGGTGGAGTTGGTCCGGCTTGGGCAGGAGGCACCAATAATTTATCCGACACATTTTCTGCTGGCTTTCTGTAAGTATCTTAATGTGGTCTATCGCAAAACATACATGCAAAACAAAATTAATACCTTTGGCTTTACATGTTAAAGTATATCATAATGTTTTACAACATTATTACCTTCACTTCACTTTGACAATCATTCTTTCAGTGAACATCCTGTTACATAATATTTATTAAAATGCATTGGGGGATACTGTTGTATTGTATTATCCATCAAAATGATTCTTGTGTTTATATTGGATACTGTAACCTATAACTGATGCATATACTGTATGTGCATACGTCATTATTAAACAAGACTCCAGACTGTCATGAACGCATTGAGTTTGTGGAGGAAATGTATATAAGGCATAGATCACCCAAAAATAGTGAACATTTACTAAACACAAGTGTTTCTAAATGAGTTTCTTTCTTTTGAAGATATTGTGAAGAATGTTGGAAACCAGCAACCATCGACCCTATGGATCTCAATTGCTTTTAAGATGTGCAATAAACATTAGGGATGGGTATCGTTAAGATTTTAACGGTATACTACTTTTATCGACACCACTCATCGGTTCGGTACTTTAATGGTTCTCTTCGGTACTTCGGTGTAGAGTTTTTGTTATTAAATAAAAAATACAAAAAACTAATTTATTCTACAAGTATTTTTGTAAAATAAAATGAAACCAATATTTGTAATACAAATAAATACTTTTTTTTTCTGTATGTCCAATGGTTTGAAGGAAAATTACTCATGTTTGACTTTTCTGGCAGAAATTGGCATCTTTGTTGGTTTGTTGAGCTCCCTGCAGTTAAAAAAAAATACCCTCTTTGAATAGCAAAATGCAGCTAAATGAGAGGATATGTATGATTTTTTAATAAAGCATTAACATGAATGAGTTAACCGGGCAACACAGTGGTGCAGTAGGTAGTGCTGTCGCCTCACAGAAAGAAGGGTGCTGTTCCGAGCCTTGACTCAGTTGGCGTTTCTGTGTGGAGTCTGCATTCGCGTGGGTTTCCTCCGGGTGCTCCGGTTTCCCCCACAGTCCAAAGACATGCGGTACAGGTGAATTGGGTAGGCTAAATTGTCCGTAGCATATGAATGTGTATGAGTATGTATAGATGTTTCCCAGAGATGGGTTGCAGCTGGAAGGGCATCCGCTGTGTAAAAAAAACATATGCTGGATAAGTTGGCAGTTCATTCTGCTGTGGCGACCCCAGATTAATAAAGGCACTAAGCCGAAAAGAAGATGAATGAGTTAACAGTGTTTTGGGAGTTAACTGTGTTTTTAATACAGTTTTGCAGCATCTTGCAATGTAAAAAGCTGTTTTCTTATAATTTAATTCAATAAAAAATATTAATAGGCTAATCATTGGTTATATTTCAGCTGATGTAAAAGCATTTTTAATGTTTAAGATGTGTCTGTGTGTTTATTTAAGTAATAATATTAGACTTATTTAGGTTATTGGCAGATTGATGCGAATGATGTGACGTTACTGTTACGCAGTCAAAAACTTTTCATTCGTCTCTCTGCAGACATATATAAGAAAAACAACAGAGAAACTTATACAACAAAACATCTTGTTGCGTTTGTTGCAATGGGCATTTTTGCTGTCCACTCAGGAAATACTACAATAACTTGTTTGGTTCACTCTGCTTGGTTCACTCCGCAAGCTTGTGTGTGCGCGCGAGTTTGTGTCACAAGCTATTTGTGCATTTCTCATGTGAGATTGCCAACTGTGGTTGGTCAGTTAAATTGCTACTGTAAGTAATGTTTATACAGCAATAATTCTCTATGTCCGATAGCAGAATTGTTAACATCAGAGCTTATCGATACTTCGGTCTTTTATAATGTAACACCGATACCAATAAAGTATCGAGTTTTGGTACCTATCCCTACTAAACATAGTTGCAGTATAAGAATTAGGGCTGCACAATATATGTTTCAGCCTTGATAACGCAATGTGCGAATCTGCAATAGTCACGCAATCTCAGGATCTCAAGTGATTTCAACTGAATTTAAACCATTCGGGCAAAAGTTAAACTTTTTAAATCGCTTTAACAAAGAATAATTGTGATTAATTATTTACACAATGAAGATTATACTGTGTTATTTTACATTTGATTTGATTACTCACTTTCTGTACTTAAATGTCCTGTTACCATTTATCTTTGTTCTATTGTTTTCATTATCTGTTTTTCATTTGTCCTATTGTTTTGAAGTATGAATAATCGTGTATTTATTAATTATAGTTCAACATTAAATAATGCAGTATTAAAATCCAAGTTATGCTTTTTAACATTAGTTAATGCACTGGGAGTTAACATGAACTAACGTTATTTAACTTGAATAATATTAACTAATGTTAACAAAGTTGAAGAAATACCATAATAAATGCATTACTAAACACATTAACAAACATTAACTAATGGACCATTATTTTAAAGTATTAACAAACAATGAATTCTTTTCAAATAAATTAATCTTGTGAAATGATATTCATATGTCAATATATAGCAGAAAAACTAAGTATTGCAATGTCAGTTTTTTTTTTTTCAAAATCGTGCAGCCCTTAAATAGGAATATACCATAGTGACCCATCAAAACACACAGTTAAGCTGCACTAAGCAAAATTTCTGTCAAATCACTTATTCAGTCCACACCAAACTCTGTCCGAACTACAAAATGATCTATTCTTATGGTTTTCTTTGAATAGTATATAGAATAAAAAAAGCCTTGCTTTCCCTTGTACTACACACTTGTTTTCCACGGCAGCTCATCCCACTATATTTCAGAAGTGTTCTTTTCTCTCGTATACAGATAATGGCATTTAAATATTAAAAAAGGACTTAATATGATGATAAAAATGTTAAAGCATGACTAATTGATCACTTCTGCTACATCCTCTGATATTTAAATTTATTTTTTACTTGAAATTTATTGTTATACTTTTTTTTAGGTGGCTTAACACTCTTGGCATCGCTGCAGCTCACGGGATTGATGTTGTTCTCCGACATTCGTTCTTTGACTATGGTTACAACCACCTGGTGGACCAGAACTTCAACCCTTTACCTGTAAGTCTGAACATGTAAAAACAGCACAATTTTTTATTTATTTAATTAAAAAAAAAATTTATATTATTGATTTATTTTATTTTATTTTATTTTTTTATTTTTTTATCATATTTTCATTTATTTTTATTTTATATATATTTTTTTTATTTATTATGTATTTATTTTATTTTAATTTATTTTACCCCCAAATATAAAGAATGTGTGTGCAATCTTAACTGAATAAGAAAATATATTAAATAAAAATTATTTAACACTTGCAAAATTTAGCTCTCGAGATTGACGTTGTTTTCTGACATTCGTTCTTTGACTTTGGATACAACCACCTGGTGGACCAGCACTTCAACCCTTTACCTGCAAGTCTGAACACGTAAAAAAAAAAAAAACAGCACAAATCAAAAGCAGCCAAAGCCGTTTAGTATTCAGACGCAACCTGCAGACAGATTTTATAATATTTTTATTTTATTGTATTTTATTTATTTATTTTATTTTATTTTATCATATTTTATTTTATTTTTATTTATTTATTTATTTTGTATTTATTTTATTTTATTTTTACCCCTAAATATAAAGAATGTGTGTGCAATCTCAACAGAATAAGAAAAAAAAAAAAGAACACTAGCAAAGTTTAGCTCACAGGAGTGACTTTGTTCTCCGACATTCATTCTTGGACTATGGATATAACCACCTGGTGGCCCAGCATTTCAATCCCTTACCTGTAAGTTTGAACACGTAAAAACAGCACAAATCAAAAGCAGCCAAAGCCGTTTAGCACTCAGACGCAACCCGCAGACAGACTTAAGTCACAAAAGGTTACACAAATTAACGCCACATGCAGTGATCTGTGTGGTATGCTTGTTACTTTACTGTAAAACTACCTGGATGTCGTTTTACTTCAGTGTTTGAAAATGCTCCGTTTTTAGTATGTGGCCCAGGCACCTTACCGAGTTTCCCGTGGGACCTATTAGCCAAGATGAAAGGTGTTTAGTGGTGTTGAATACTGGGCAGCTGGGTCGAAGTGCACTGAAATTCAAACCCAGGACAGTGTCACCTGTCTCCCAGCCCCTTCGACATGTGTGCCCCACTGTGAGGAACAGCCAGATGCTGATAGCACTGCAACCCGAGCCGAAGACAGTCTGCAGGTAGACCCACCCTGCTGACCGCTGCCAAACCCAGCCTGAATTATGGAGACTGCAGTCTTTCTCAGAGTGCACAGGTCAGGTCTCTGGAGATGAGACACACACACACATAGACATAAGACTTTAATTACAGTTCAATTTGATTCTAGATCCTGTGTAACCTGTTAACCCTCATCTTTTATTAGCTTATGGTGACCATTCAGTTTAGATATATATATATATATATATATATATATATATATATATATATATATATATATATATATATATATATATATATATATATATATATATATATATATATATATATATATATATATATAGGTGATTTATGATATTTTATTATAAAAGCATACACAGTTATTGTTAAAAAAAAGTAAATTACTGATGTTAGTTTATTACTTTGCCAATGGAACATTTAGATAACTAAATATATGTACTAAAATAAATATTTATAACATACCAAAAATATTTAATTTATTATATTTATTTATTTATTTATTTATTCATTTATTTATTATGTTTATTTTTATTTTTTGGAGTACAGTTAGTGGTATATCCAGAGAAGCAATTGCAGATTAGGAAGTGAAGTGGAGACTAAATAGTTGAGTTTTTAGTCGTTTCTTGAAAACGGCGAGTGACTCTGCCGTTCTGATGCAGTTAGGGAGTTCATTCCACCAACTGGGCAAATTGAACGCGAGCGTTCGGGAAAGTGATTTTTTCCCTCTTTGGGATGGAACCATGAGGCGATGTTCATTCACAGAACGCAAGTTTTTGGAGGGCACATAGATCTGCAGAAGTGAGAGCAGATAAGAAGGAGCAAGGCCAGAATACACTTTGTAGGCAAACATCAGAGCTTTGAATTTGATGCGAGCAGCAACTGGCAGCCAGTGCAAACGGACTAGCAGTGGAGTGACATGTGCTCTTTTAGGTTCATTAAAGACCACTCGTGCTGCTGCGTTCTGGAGCAGTTGAAGAGGCTTGATAGAGTTAGCTGGAAGCCCAGCTAGTAGAGAGTTGCAGTAATCCAGTCTGGAGAGAACAAGAGCTTGAACAAGAAGTTGAGCTGCATGTTCAGATAAGAAGGGTCGGATCTTTCTGATGTTATAGAGTGCGAATCTGCACGATCGAGCAGTTCTAGAAATGTGGTCAGAGAAGTTTAGTTGGTCATCAATCGTTACTCCAAGACTTTTCACCATTTTGGATGCAGTAATGTTTGCCCCATCCATCGGGATTGAGAAGTTATGGTGTAGAGTCAGGTTGGCAGAAACTACAAGCATTTCCATTTTTGCAAGGTTAAGCTGAAGATGATGATCTTTCATCCAGTGTGAAATGTCCGACAGGCAGGCTGAGATGCGAGCTGGAACCGAGGGATCATCAGGATGAAAAGAGAGGTATAGCTGGGTATCATCAGCATAGCAGTGGTAAGAAAATCCATGTTTCTGAATTTATTTTTATTTATTTATTTATTTATTTTTATATTTATTTATTTACTATATTTAATTTAATTTTTATTTATTTATTTATTTACTTTACTTAATTTTATTTTAATTGATTTATTTATTTAATATTCATTTATTTATTTATATATTATATTTAATTTAATTATTTTTTATATTTATTTATTTATTTACTATATTTAATTTGATCTTTATTTATTTATTTATTTTATATTTATGTATTAATTATATTTAATTAGATTTTTATTCATTCATTTATTTATATTATATTTATTTATTAAGTATATTTAATTTTATTTATTGATTTAATTTAATTTTAAATTATCTACTTATTTATTAAATTTTTTTATTTTTACCCAAAATATAAGTAATGTGTGTGCAATCTCAACAGAATAAGTAAATATTTAAAAAAAGTTATCGACACTTTAGTTCAGTTGACAATTCAGGCTATTAACAAACCATTAACTACCACTTCTAGTTTAATAAACTACTAATTAGCTGTTTATTAATAGTTAGTAAGGTAGTGGTTGTGTTTAAGTTTTGTTTAGGATTTAGGAAGCATACTTCTAGATATACTATACCTACTAATGAACAGTTAATATCTTAATAATAGGCAGGGGTAAAAATCTAATAAATTGTGACTTACCAATTTATCAACAAATTTTCTGAGAGAACCCCCATTTTGCATATACTGTAAAAATCAACAGCCTCAAGCAAAAATTTCACTTCGGGTTCATCCATTACTGTCTTCAGATGCTAATAGATACGTTATCTGCTCGTGGCCCTCTCTCTTTTTTTTTTTTTTTTTTTACAGCCAGACCTGTCAATTTACACATGTTCCTTTGCCGGCAGTAAATCTAAAGAAAAACGTAATGAGGACAGTTTTTGAGAAGCACAGCAATAGTAGAAATTCTTGCTTATACAACCTTTTACTAAAGACATGCAAGGCTGGATTTTTCATGCCAGAATCTCACCAGAAGCTGGACAAGAAGGAGCATCTTTCCATAAAACGCACTGGGAGCTGATTTTTTTTGTCAAGCACTCCTCACAACTTTTGAAACTCTTGTCTCTCTCTTTTTTTTTGTTCAGTATCTCTGGTTATTCCAGGGAACAATCGCCCCCTGCTGGGTTCGCAATGCTTTAAACATAGCTGGATGTCTGTGGGAACAGCCAGAAGCCCCACTGAGAGAATTCGCAACAGCCGAAACCTGTCGGCCTGTGTGGAAAATTTACGGTCCAACCTTTTCTCTTTAATCCTTGACTGAGTCTCCTGTTCTTTCCATTCACACCTCAACAGAGGATTGATCCTTCATCTATCCATCTATCCATCCATCCATATTCTGTCAGTTTGTTTGTTTTATTTGTTAATTTATTTGTTTATTTTATTATTAACTAATTTAATTAATTTAATAATTAATTTCGAAAGTATTATTATTTAGTAGTATTACTAGTATTATTACTTAGTATAAGGATTATTAATGAATTCATTTATTAATCATCTATTTAAATTTATTTATCTGTTTAATAATCTGAACAATAATGTTATGAATATTGATATCAAACATACTAAAATATGATTGTATTATAATTACTATTATTATTATCTATTTGTGAGTATTCATCTCTTCAGTAATATGCACATTACTGTTTTAATTATTATTATTAATAATAATATATAAGCAAGGAGTAACTGATGATGGTCGTGGAATTAGAATTAGAAAATAACAGCAATGGAAGTTCAAAACGTTTGATCATCATGTGATTCATGTAGACTTCAAATAGTTCCTGGAAGTGCTTTGTGGTTAGATAATGTTAAAACATAACCACTCTTCTTTGTAAAAACCTTGTACCGTTCACACTTGCATCACCAGCAGTTTTTAGCTGTAACTCTGCTGTAAGTGCTAACTTTCGAGAACTACAAGTATTGAAAGGCTCCACAAGCCGCCATTGTTGTTGACAAAATGTGCTATTGAAGTTGTCTCTCTTTCTATTGCTCTGTGTGACATAAAGTGAAGTGGAGGTTACAAATCGGGTTTAGACTTAGAAAACTTTATTGATCCCGCAGGAAATTGCTTACGTAATGACTGCCATAACACACAAAACACAGAAACACAAAACCACAAGACAAAATAAATAAATTAAATAAGTGAAATAAGTCACATAAATCCAACCAATCTATAAAAGGAAACAGCCACAATACATAAGTATAAAAACTATTATATAAGATATTACACTTAAAAGAATCAGTGGTAACTAATACTATTAAGTCATATATCAAGTAATGCAAATAATATTAACCAAAACCAATAATATTACACATAAAACAATTACACATAAAATATTTCAAGTAATAAAGTGATTCAACACTCAAAAAACAATGATATTGCACTAAAAATATTTAAGA